TTCTAGTGTTACATCATCCCTGTTGATTTCACAACGATTACTGATAGAAAAGAAAGATAGTTCTAGTGTTACGTCATCCACGTTGATTTCACAACGATTACCTGATAGAAAAGAAAGATAGTTCTAGTGTTACGTCATCCACGTTGATTTCACAACGATTACCTGATAGAAAAGAAAGATAGTTCTAGTGTTACGTCATCCACGTTGATTTCACAACGATTACCTGATAGAAAAGAAAGATAGTTCTAGTGTTACGTCATCCACGTTGATTTCACAACGATTACCTGATAGAAAAGAAAGATAGTTCTAGTGTTACGTCATCCACGTTGATTTCACAACGATTACCTGATAGAAAAGAAAGATAGTTCTAGTGTTACGTCATCCACGTTGATTTCACAACGATTACCTGATAGAAAAGAAAGATAGTTCTAGTGTTACGTCATCCACGTTGATTTCACAACAATTACCTGATAGAAAAGAAAGATAGACTTTTTTTTTAGTGTTACTACATCATGCAATATGGACGAGAACATGTAAATTTTAATATTATTGGTTGTGCTGTATGTTGATAGATACATTCGACATGTTTTATCATGTTCGTGTAAGCACACATACAAGTTTTTGATAAATAAAACAATAACAATTTTAATACACTGTGCATTAGTGGTTTTGTTTCATCAAACAACTACTTTTCTACTTTTGTTTGTCTTATGTTTAATGCTAGCTTGACAGCCAATGTGCCAAATCTATCACTGAGACACTTCTTCGAACTATAGAGGGCGCAAATGCAACATTTTTAGTTTAAGATAAATCATATTAAGATAAATCATATTAAGATAAGTCATATTAAGATAAGTCATATTAAGATAAGTCATATTAAGATAAGTCATATTAAGATAAATCATAGTCCGATTTGGTCTACAATGAAGGACCAAATAATATTATAAATATGTTTTTGTCTATATTGCAACATTAATGTGATTGTGAACCACTTGTCGTGCAAGATAAAATTGTCAAAAAAGTTTTGTTAATTTGCATAGTACAGTGTTCTCTCCTAGTAAATGCCCAAACATGGCAGCTTATTTGCAAAGTACATTGTTCTCTCCTGGTGAATGCCCAATGATGGCAGTTTATTTGCATTGTACAGTGTTCTCTCCTAGTAAATGCCCAAACATGGCAGCTTATTTGCAAAGTACATTGTTCTCTCCTGGTGAATGCCCAATGATGGCAGTTTATTTGCACTGTACAGTGTTCTCTCCTAGTAAATGCCCAAACATGGCAGCTTATTTGCAAAGTACATTGTTCTCTCCTGGTGAATGCCCAATGATGGCAGTTTATTTGCACTGTACAGTGTCCTATCCTGGTAAATGCCCAAACATGGCAGCTAATTTGCATAGTACAGTGTTCTCTCCTGGTAAATGCCCAAACATGGAAGCTTATTTGCATAGTACATTGTTCTCTCCTGGTGAATGCCCAAACATGGCAGCTAATTTGCATAGTACAGTGTTCTCTCCTGGTAAATGCCCAAACATGGAAGCTTATTTGCATAGTACATTGTTCTCTCCTGGTGAATGCCCAAACATGGCAGCTATTTTGCATAGTACAGTGTTCTCTCCTGGTAAATGCCCAAACATATCAGCTAATTTGCATAGAACAGTATGCATAATGCTTACAGATGTACATATTGAAAAAGAGAATAATTAACAATTTCAATTGTTCTAAGTTCAAGCCTGGCAATAAATTAATGGCCAAAACTCACCTAAGAATCCAGGGCGACACTGACATGTGAATCCTTCTTCTGACTCGTAATCATCACTACATACACCTCCATTTTCACATGGAAAATCTTCACATGGTAAGAGTTCACAGAATTCCCCTCTGTATGGCTTTGCACAGACACAAATAAAATAATCTATCCCATCCATACAAGTACCTCCTCTCTGACACGGCTCAGATGAACACTCATCAATATTAACCTCACAGTTTTTACCTATAAATATCAAAAAAGTACTGTAAAACATGTCTTTTTAGATAGCATGTTGTTTTAGCTGATTTAGCTAATTTAACAGAAAGTCTATCCTCACAGGGAGATAGTCAACACTTTAGCTGAATTAAGATTCTGTTAATTCATGCCAAGAGTCAAATACTCTAATATAGCATGCAGCTATTTCAACGTGTTCTACAGTATGTAGTCATAATATGCTCTTTAAAGATATTCCTATTTTCATCTATGTGCCACCTTAATGATCCTTGAAACAACTTTAATGTCATGAGAGACAAGTTTTAGCTGTCAGTAATAATCAGAAAATTTTATAGCAGTGAAAATTTTTCAGGTTCATACAACAATGAAATCACAATGAAAATTATACTGTTTACAGTATTATAAACGGAAATTGGAATTTATTAACCAATCAGAGAGAGCCTCCATCAAGTTTAACCCATTAGACTAATATTTTCTAAATTGAATACCGTAAAATCTGTATTAGAAGCCGCATCCCTAATAGAAGCTGCACACATTCATTTTGAACAATTGAGACCCAAAAGTTCACCATTTCTCATATGTGTAGAAGCTTTAATAGAAGCCGCATCCCCTCTGTTGTATTGTACCATTTTAATACAGATTTTACAGTACTTCATTGTATCTACCGGTACATTATATCGCTATGGCTCATGCAATACTTTAATTCAAATGAAATTTCAGTGCCTAATGTGATACAAAACAGCCAGATATCAAAGCAATTCGCATAGAAGCCCTCTAGAACATGCACATATTAACTGCTATATCTGCATGTTTATTTACTCACCAGTAAATCCTGATTTACAGACACATTGATAATCACCAACTAGATCAATGCATGTTGTTGCACCATCACTGCAGGGATTCGCATCACATTCATTGACCTCCACATCACAATACTGCCCAGTAAACCCTGTTGCACAGACACAACTCACAGTCGCTATACCGTCAATGCATTGAGCATTATTCTGACACAAACCGTATAAACATTCATTGATATTAATTTGACAATATACTCCAGTGTATCCATCAAGACAATAGCATTGGTAGCTGTTAGCACCATCCTGACATACGCTTGAGTTAATGCTGCATGGGCTAGAAGCACATTCGTTGATATCCATTTCGCACAAAGACCCATCAAATCCTGGCGGACATATGCATGTGAACGAGTTGAAAGCATCCACGCACGTTGCTTCATTTTGACAAGGCTGACTAACACATTCGTCAATTTCCTCATCACAGTTCTGACCTTCGAATCCCGATGTGCAGTGACACTCGTATCCATTAACCTGATCGGAACACGTACCACCATTGACGCACGGATTGGATAAACACTCGTCTAGTTCGGTTTCACAGAATACACCAACAAATCCTGTAGTGCATTCACAGATGAACTCAACATCACCGTTTGGGACACCACTGGAAACACTCACACAGTTGGCATCGTTTAAACACGGTAACTGATCACAACTAGTCAAGAATTCTTCACAGTTGATACCAGTGTAACCGAGTGAACAAGTACAACTGTATTCCCCAATCCCATTGATACAAGTACTGTTATTTATGCATGGGTTACTTGCACATTCATCAATTTCACTTTGGCATACATCTCCTTGGTAACCGTTTGCACATTCACAGGCATAGCTGTTGATGAAGTCCACACAAACACCGCCATTTTGACACACAATTTCGAAGATAAAGCATTCATCAATATCCTCCTGGCAGTATCGTCCAGAATATCCCGGCAAACATCGACAAGAATATGAATAGTCAACCAAATTATCAACACAGAGGGCGCCATTTTCACATATGTTGTTATCGCATGGCATCACAAGATTACAGTTTTCATCATATATTAGATCGTTTTCAGGACACAAACAGATGTAAGCATTAATAAAATCTTCACAAGTACCGCCATTTTGACAAGGGTTGCTGGAACATTCATCGATGTTTATTTCACAAAATGTACCAGTGAAACCGACATCACAAACACAGCTAAGAAAATAAAAACAGGAAAAATTATGTCATAATTGAATTAATTGTTCAGAAAAATTTCAAAGAATGATTTGAAAAAAAATTATTGAAAACACAGGATAATACATGTAATGATTCTGAAGGTCCTATCGTCAATATAGATGTTTGATGCTTGTCAAAATAAAACCCAAAATACTGTAAAATACTTGGAATTAATTTTCACTGAAAAGGCTTTTTGGGCGTTTTACATGGAATTTATTTTCACTGATTTTTGATGAGTTTAATGTGAAATATAGGAAAAAAAGTATATTCGCTGGATTTTATTTTCACAGAATCACCCCTTCAGCGAAAATAGCGAAAGTATTCTACAGTACTAACATTCAAAATCAAAGAAAACTTAGAAAGAACTCCCATGTGCTGAGAGTATTGGAGACACATTAAATATAATTCAAAATTACTTAGCTGAAAACTAATTATGCAAATCAGAAAATTAATATGACCAGATTTGAGTGTAAAACTAATGAGGTCTGCGCAATGTAACAGAAAATCTATGTCTCCAAGTTTAATTGAAATGTGATTAGAACCAAAAATTATGAATTATTATGCTTATTAGGGAATTAATATGAACAGATTTTTACCCCAACTAATTAGGTTTGTACATTGTCC